CTGCCTGGCAAATGCAAGGTCCTGAGTTCGATTCCTGTTACCAACCCCCACGTCAAAAAAAGTAAAGTATAAAGACATCAAATGAATTTTAAGAACATATATTTACCCAATAAATGTGGAATATTTTCATTTTAACATGAAATATATATTTGTCTTAGTTACTTTCCTGTTGCTGGGACAAACACCTAACACCCACAAGTTAAAGGAGGAAAGGTTTATTTTACCCCACAGTTCACAGAGGTTTCAGTCCATAGTCAGCTGGTTCCAAGGCAGGGTGAAATGGCAGAGGGACATGGCAGAGGAGAAACTGTTCATGGCATGAAAGGCAGGAGGTAGCCAGCTTTCTGTTGTCTTTCCCTCTTTATTCCATCCAGGATAAAAACCCATTACTTAGTGCACTGCTACCCAGGGTGGGTTGGTTTTCCCTCTTCAACAAGTCCATCATCCACACCCAGAACTATGCTAAATCATTCAGTGAACTAATCCAGTATCACAGCCCATGATCCACTCACCTCCCAAAAGCCCCACCTATGAGTGCGTGAAGCTTTGGGAGACATCTGGATAAAAACCATGACACTATATAACCATGTTTTTAAAATTTGAGGTATATTTTAGCACATCTCAATTTAGACAAACCATATTTCAGATGTTTCAGGGTCATATTGGACATTGCAGACCTAGACTAAAGTACTTGCTTTTGTTTTGAATTGTAGAGAGTGTTAATTGAGCTAACCTACTCTGAGAAGCTGAAGCAAGAAAAGCACAAATTCAAACCCAGCCTGGGCAATTCAGCAAGACCCTGTCTCAGAAAAAAAAAAAAAAAAAAAAAAAAAGAGTTGTGGATGTGAAAGGCCTGAGTACAATCTGCAATATAGGAGAAATAAAATAACAAAAACCAGAAAAACAAAAACAACAATAACAGCAAATCAACAAGGAGGAGGAGGAGGAGGAGAATAAGGAAAGGAAGGGAGGAAGGGGAAAAAAAGGAAAGGAAAGACAGAAAGAAAGACACAAATGTGTACTGTTAAATGATAAATTGTTGGCAGAGGTTTAAATACAGTGGTTTTCATTCCACTATCAGTAACGTCATTTTCAAGAGCAGAAAGCTCATCTTGCTACAGTTTGGTAGAGGGTCAAGAAAGATGATTCAGATGCCTGTCCAATAAGAGTCTGCAGGCCTTGCAAACAGCCCAGGGACTTTCACTTGGGTGTGGCGAGCTGACCTCAGAGTCCATTGTGAGCCATTTTTACTTTTGTTTTTAGTTTGTTTGACTTTTATGGTCTCCCCAGGTTTATTTGGAGTGCAATCCAAGGAGTGTATTTTAGAAGCGCAGTATGATTTGCTGATGTTTAAATGACGTATATAGGCTTACGCCCTCCTTATAACAGCATAGATAGAGTTCTGTCAGTATTTCCATTAAGAATTCAAACTTTTTGGGATTTATTACACAGCCATAACAAATTGCTCCAGGCAGAACTTGGCAAATGTTTCCTCAGTGTGCGAGAAAATTCTTTTTAACAACTTAAAAAAGATAAAAGTAAATAAATGTTTACCACTTCACCTTACTCACGGTGATTTTTTGACTGGGGAGACATGCAGATAAAGTACACATCATATCTTCACATTGCATTTGTTTTACAATTTGAAACGCTAAGATCAGCTTGCAAGACAAAACTTGCTCGAGTTATACAATGGCTCTGCTGCCTCCCAAATCTGCAGTGATTCCCCTATTTGAATCTCCTATGTGGAACTCTGATTGATAAAATTCCAAGAGGTTGTGGATCAATCAATAGTGAATCCTGTGTTTCTTCATAGTTAAATTAACATTTTTCAAAAGTTATGATTTATTCTGCTCTGAACTCTTTGTAGAGTTTTAAGTTTTACACACTTAACTGCAGATGTATAGTAAGTTGCTGATAAATAACGAATACATAAAAAGCAGCATAAGAATTAAAGCACAATTTCTGTTCTTTATTTCTTGTATACTTACTTATTAAATATTCAATATAGAGGCAGAAAAAGTTTTAAAGCTAAAAAAAAAATCATGCTACCAAATCTTTAACTTTTATGATTTCCCTCTTTTACACACACGTCGAAGGGTTATTGGAACAATTAAATGATTCAGTGTTATGAAATCCTGAGCTAGGTCCATAACCTTTATGAGGCTTGGCTGTTACTGTGTGTCTTATGCACCTCGAGGGAGTTTCTGAGCATGCAAGATCTATGAAAAGTGTGAAATGCTACATAAATGTAATGGAAAGGTAAATCCTCAACACAGCAAGCGTGGAGAACAAATGTCCAAACTGATTATGAAAGTAAGTATTGTACGGTGAAAAGTGCACGTATTTTAACCAACACAATCGACTCCAAATGAAATTCATCTCTGTAATTAAATGCAGTTGGGTGTGCTGACTCCATTTTTAGATAAACAGGAAGTACTCTCAGAGTTGCCTTATTCTGCATAGTGTTGTCTTTATTTTTGACTAGAGAAAACTGGCCTAAGGCATCTTTTGCAAGCATGACTTTAGAGGTCCACTTTCATTTAAGAATTCAAGCCTAAAACTTGAAATAAGTGTATTATATCTTATGTAACTTATCTCTTTAAATACTTGGCACTATAACCTGGCAGACTGTGTTTGCTTGTTGGTTTTATTTTATTTTGCTTTGGTTGAGCTTTATAACAATCTACTTTCAGTAAGAACATATACTACAATTTAAAATCTGCCACAATTGGAAGGGCCCTGTACACTGCATTTATTAAGCACTCTTGTGCTCCCTCTGCTGCCATGAAGAAAACATTCACATTCAAGACCCCAGCACATTCCTCACCGAGTTTCTTTTTTTAAAAGGATGATGCAGATCTGTGTATAAATCAGGGCTCTCCCGAAATGCAGTACTATTTCTCCAAACCATACATAGTTGTCTCTTGGGTAGGACAACTGGCTCCAGGATTCCTTTTGAATACCAAAATCCTGGGATGTTCCAGTACCTTACATAAAATGCCACAGTATTTGCATATAACCTACGCATATCCTCCTATGTAGCTTAAGTCATCTCTATACGATTTCAAATATCTAATACTATGCAAATAGTATGTAAATAGCTGCTATACTGTACTGTTCAAGGACAAATGAGGAGAAAAAAATTCTGTATGTGCTCAGCACAAATTTTTCAAATAGTTTTGATCTGCAGCTGGTTGAGTCCAAGATGTAGACATCCAACTATAATGTGAAAACTTTTCATTAGAAAACTTAGAATTAGTAAAAAAAAAAATAGGATAGTGAAACTCTTAGATCAGTGTTTTTTAAACTGTAATGTGTTTAGGATCACCTCAGAGGCTGGTTCAAAGGGAGATTCTGAGTCCATAAATGTAGGGTGGAAACCTGGATTCTGAAAGTCTAAAAAAACTCCCATCTGTTGCTGCTGCTTTGACTATTTTAGAGGTGTATAAGGAAGTTGGGATGTGATACAGTATCATTAATTTATATACTTGCTGGCCTATGTCAAACCTTTGAAAGTATATATGACTAAAATGGCAAAATAGATACAAGGATTAAATCATTTCAATGCTGTTTAAGCAATCCACAACATATATTAAGAGTAAGGCTCAACTATTCCTCAATTTCCTTTCATTTTAAAGATTGACATGAACAAATATAAAATCAAGTTTATGAGTAAAAGTACCATAGTTTGTATTTGTATTTTACTTTGTATTTTCCTTCTGGCTTCTTGAAAGATCTGCTCTTTTTTCTTTGAGATTTTGTTTGCATGAGATACCACCCTCTTCCATTCCGGGGGTTGAACCAGGGCCTCACACATGCTAGGCAAGCTACTCTACCACTGAGCTACACCCCTAGGCCTCGTATTTTATTTTATTTTACTTTAATTTTTGAGATACAGTCTGATTTAAGTTGCCCAGGCTGACCTTGAACTCTCTATCCTCCTGCCTCAGTCTTCTAAGTGGCTGAGATTACAGACCTGTGAAACCATGTCTGGCAAAAACTCTTGCTTTGAAAGAGTCAGTGCCTATGATTTGTGACTGTGTGTTTATATTTTGTCATCTGAAAACAAAACATCTCAGTCTTAAAGGTAATGAAACTCTTTTATAAGTATTTTGCTTATGTTGAACTTTGTAGGAAGAAATCGTTAAATAGAGTTTAGTGTCAGTTTTTCATCTTCATGACCATGAAAGTAAATGACACATTCCTTATTGTTTTTACTGTTCGGGTACTATACATACTTAGCTGCCTTCAGGGGCTATTTAAATTAATCGACTCACTCTAATCTGAATTATGTGTTTTAATATGTCTCAGGTTGTTAAAATACCATAAATTAACTGCTTCTGCTAATGTAATAATTGCAATATTAGTTTTTTTCTTGAAAATTCTCTAAATGTAAGATGTCTAAAAATAGAGTGGAGGTGGATTGGACAGTTTGCAGATTATGAGTTGGAATAAAAACATCTCGGTTAAGCCAAAAACATGGCAACCAATATTTTCTGTTATAAAAATATTTTAGATGAATTTAGTTTTTTATGAAAGCTGTCTGCAACGGAAATGAAGAGCAGGAGCTCTGTGTTTATTCACAGGCCAGCAGTAATAATACCTGCAGCACAAAGCGTACGCCGTTTCCCTCCAGAACCAACAAACCTCTGTTCTTCTTAGAAGTCAGCTTTGCCAAGCCGGGAAAAGATAGTACCTGGTTGTGTTCTGAATCACCAGCCCTCCCCTTGACAAATCTTGTCGGCGTAAACACCAGCCAGAACCTTTACAGGAAACTGATGTTAACTGTCCACTAGAGGCTGTAATGAGACCAACAATGTCACCAGCACAACCTCAGGTTGAAACCTAAGGATCATTGATTTTTAAATGGAAAGAGAGAAAGAAAAAAAAGTTGTAGAAACGAGTAAGCGTGAACAATAGTAGTTCTATTTAAGTAGCCATGTCTGTGCGCGTGGCATTTCAAGATGTGAGAAAAAAAATTTCTGGGGCTGTATTACCTTCTTCGTGAGTGTGCTTATTTTTATTTTTGAAGCGCGTTGGCTCTACAGTCCAGAGTTGTTTAAAAGCTGACACATTTCTCTGGGTGATTCTGTATCCTGCTTCAGTTGGTGACTAACCGTTAGGTCATAAGCAAACTCAGCCAAAAGGTCTCTCAAATACAGCTTACAGTCAATAGCGGTGGCTTCCAGGGAGAAACGGAGGGATCAGATGTCTAGACCCAGTTTCAAGCACCTGAAGCAGGTCAAACGCTACCCCGACACCTACTGGCCTTCCAGAATTATCTGCGGCAAGGACAGCGCCTCAGTGAGCGGCCCTAGGGACGCGCCTTCTTCCTCCAGGTGCCACACCTGTTGGCAAGGTGCACCTCTGCAAAGATCCCTGTACGTGGAGCTCACCCGAGCGGTGGACGGGCGGAGAGGACGGGGCGGGGGAGCCGAGGACCGCACTTAGCAATTAAGACCAGAGGAAGTTCTTCGGTGTGGATTCATAAGAACTGCTATTTAACGCTCCGTTTACTTTCTCTATCTCCTACACCGGTTACCTCACTTCCGATTAAATTAATGATCCCGAATTAGCCGCGAGAGGAGCCTGCGGGTCGTCTATCACGGCCACAGCGGAGTAGTTCAATTCCCAAAGCAGATTTCCGGAAGTGCAGAAATAGAAGGGAAGGCGGGTGGTCACCAGCTCTCGCGGGTGGGAAAGGTGAGGATGCAAGTGCCGTCGCGGGGACTCTTAAAACTTTCCCGAGTTGCACGCCAAGGCAGCCCCGTGGCTCCAGGTCTGGGTTCCCAAACGCCGAAACGACGGGGTTGGAGGGTGAAAGTGCAGCGGATGACCAGAGTGAGCACGCGTAGGCGCTTCTCGGAGCGCCCCGGGCTCAAGGCCAGTTGGGATTAGAATTAGCCGGCTTCCCCCGCCCCAGTGGGTATTTCACCGGCTCGGAGCTGAAGCTTGATACCCTGGGGGAGGGGGGAGTCCCCCAGATTGCCTGAGTTGCACCCCACTGTCACTCTGTTAGCTCCGACTAGGCGCAGAGAGCTGGGAAGCGCGCAAGCACCGGCCGGTCACCGCTCCAATTACCTCATCGCTCCAACTCCCCGCCCCTCTCAAACCTGGAAGGAGCAGCCCCCTTCCTCTGACCAGGGTCTGCGTCCCCCCTTCTGCTCCTGGCTCCCCGGTCGGTCCCGATCCCCGATCCACTCTCGGGGCGCGGCGCTGGCCTCCCCGCCTGCCGGGGCTGCGCGCACCCAAGGGTTAAGGGCGCGGGCCGCCGTGCGCTCGCCGTGCTCCGTGCGGCTCGCCGGGCCGCCTGCCAGAGGGTGCCCCCCCCCCCCCACGAAGTCGGATCCTTGAGCTGCGGCGGCGGCAGCCAACTGCTCCATATTTGGCTTCTATTACACATTTACATACTGGAGCGAGCGAGCGAGCGCGAGAGAGCGCGAGGGAGGGCGGGCGGGCGGGCGGAGGGAGGAGGGCGGGGAGGGAGCGGGAGGAGGGGGAGGAGAGAGCGGAGTATACCGCAGACATCATTTCTACTACAGTGGCGGAGCCGTACAGGACCTGTTTCACTGCAGGGGGATCCAAAAACAAGCCCTGTGGAGCAGCAGCCAGACCAACAGCAGCCGCAAGACATTGTTTCTCTCCCTCTGTCCCCCCTTCCCCACGCAACCCCAGATCCATTTACACTTTACAGTAAGTGGCTATTTTTTTTCCTCCTCTGATTCTTTCTCTCCCCCCTCCCCCTCCCCTTCTCCCCCTTATTTAGATTAAAAATCAACCCCCCCACCCCGTTCTCCCGAGAGGGGAAAAAGCAACAACCAGCAAACAAACCCCAAATCCCAATCGGCTGCACGGAAAACAGCTGGAAGAGGAGCGAAGGAAACCTACGCGTCGTGTGTGTGTGCTGTGTGTGTGTGTGCGTGTGTGTACATACAACCGTCCCTAGCTCCAGCCTCCCGAGCCGGTACCCCACTCTGGGCGCAGGAGCTGCCGGCAGGGGGCTGCCAGGGTGGGGGCCGCCGGGCCAGGGGGCGCGCCCGGGCGGGGGG